TAAAAAAGTAGAAAACAAAAATTATATATAAAAAAGTATTTATAACATTTTTTATCAAAATTAAGTTAAAAAAAACTCATCTTATCATCCTCCGTTTTTATCTTAATTAGATATTTAAGAACTTAACGGCGTACAATGTTCAACACTTAAAATTGATAAACAAAAAAAATATACAAGGTTACTCATTAGCTTTGCGCATGCTGTTTTGAACTTTGCCTCCTTATAAAACAACACAGAAATGTTTTTAAATTAATTATTTTTTCGCATGCTCCAGATACCGCCGCAAAACAATCAACTTTCATCCATTTGCACATGGAGCAGTAGTTTTCCAATTATCTCACCGCTGATTATTATTTCATCGTTACTCATTATACGAAGGCGCATATCCGCAGCTAACAGCGATTTTAAATTAGTGTTGTCTGCGTAATAACAAAGTTTTTCGCGTTGCTATTGACGGCCATTCGCATCGAATCCACCTTTGACAACATCGCGTTAAATATCGCAGATTGTTATACGCGTCAGAAATTAAATCCTCCAGAAAGTTTTCGGCAAAAAGTTTGCCCGATTCTAGCGCGACCTCACCCATATTACATTCGCACGAGTATAATAACGTAATAAAATTCGAGGTAACTCGAGAAGGAACTTGTTATACGTTTGTTGAAATTCATTTTTTTGCGAGATAATTATGTTATTATTGTTAGAAAGTAATAACGGAGAGATATAAAGATATCCATCGTATTTATGGAAATTTGAGTATTTTCCCTATAATGTAATAAATGTACGCAAATATATGGTTTTTAATAAAAGTGTATTTAATTATACGTGCATTAATCTTCAAATTAAAACTGTTTGTTTATATTAACATATATTTAATCCATATTTTCCTGGCAATCTCTCTCTAGCGCATAACGTAAATATATGGGCGTAATTCCAAAAATATGGAGAGAGTTATGGATTTACATTTAAAACGCAGTCAACATTTTATCGACACAATTTGTCACGTTGCCACATTATCGGCTGAATAGGTAGAACTTTTTCCCCAATAAGACGACGTGCATAAAATATTATTATATATGTTATTTGAATAATGACGTTATGTGCGTCAGTTTGAAAAATTACATATTTCGATAACGGCCGATAATAAGATAACACAAAACAAGCGAAGCGATTCTACAAATGAGCGCAACATGCACGAACTGCTGATTACACACGCTATGTCCGGCATAAATTACAGAATAATTCAATACCATGGACCGGGGTATTAATTTGCAAGCCATGAAGTCCAATGGATCAGCGGAACGAGAACAGCAGGTAAAAAAGAACTGTGCTTGAACGCCGAAACACTGCAGCGATGACTGCCACAATTATTAATGATATCGAAGAACAGTAGGAAACGATAAAGCGCTTAACGCAGTATTTTTTTGCGATTGCTTCTTTTTACTTCATTTTTACAAAGACTGTTATCGCGTGATTTATTAAACTAAAGGCACGAGTGCGCGGAGTCGAAGTGCAGACGTATTTTACGCTACGATGTTTCCCCACGAAGTGGCGTTCTCGAAAAAGATCACGACACGTCGCACTCGATAAATGAATAATCTCGGCGCCTCAAAAAGCACTCATCGCACTTTGCGATGCTTCAAATACGTACGAAAAAAGAAATACATTCGGCGTTTCCAGGTCAGCGAGATAGGTCATCTTCCACGAGAAGCACGAAGCGAGCGTACCGATGAACTGCGAATTGCAAGCCTCAGTTTAAAGAAAACGCTGACATTAATCTACTGCAGAGCGTACGTCAGTCTTTTTACGGTAAACACTTATCTTACTAGCTCTCATTTTCAAATGAGTGCAATCAAGCGATATGAATATTCTTCGCTTTGTCATTAATTAAAGATGCGTTACAAATATGTGTAATTATAAGTTTAAAAATCGATTGTAATGTCACATAATGATTATATCTTTTGCACAATAATGAGAACAAGAAAAAAAATTGAAAATTATACTATGTCACAAGGATTCTGTTTCTCAATATCTGAATGGTAATTATTATAGTTCTTATTTATGTATTTTTAGCTACTAAAAAAAAATATAAGATTAAAAAAGTTGTATTTCACTCACACACACACACGCACACAAATTTTGTAAAATCAAGGACTTTATTTTTGGAAAATTATAAATTAAAGAATCTATAACTTTTTTCTTTTATTTTACACAATAAAATACATAAGAAATCACCAGGTAGGTGTTAAAAAACCCATGGATTTGGCAACTAATAGTGTCGTTAGGAGATGGGAGTCCATATCTAGTGAGACAAAACTTACATTGGAGGAATTTATGATAGCTTTTCGATTAGTACTGAATTCGACAGTGTTTATTTTTAACGGTAAATATTACAAACAAATTTTTGGAACCCCTATGGGATCCCCACTATCACCTATAGCTGCTGACATGGTTATGCAGGATTTTGAGGAAACAGCAATTGGTTTATTGCCGGTTCGGTTATCTTTTTATTACCAGTATGTAGATGATGTTATTTTGGCGGCCCCATCGGAGAGCATCAATGACATCTTGTATGTTTTTAATTCATTGCACACAAGATTGCAGTTCACTATGGAAATTGGCAATGATGGAAAAATCAGTTTTTTAGACACTTTGATTATTGTTGAGGAATGTAAGTTGATATTTGATGGCTATCGTAAAGCCACTTTTTCTGGCAGATTCGTGAATTTCCATTCCCAACATCCAGTCTGTCATAAGAGAGGGGTTATGTATGGTATCATAGATAAAATAGTTCGCTTATGCCACTCAACTTTTCAACAAAAGAATTTGATTGATGCTGTTAATATTTTTTTAAATAATGGATACCCTTTTCAATTTATTTTTTCGACAATCCAGAATAGATTAAAATATCATTTTAATAATATTAATGTGAACAATAATAATTTTGCTTTAGAACAATTTTTTGCTATTCCGTTCGTTGATTCTGTTTCTGAGAAATTCAAACCTATAGCTAATGTTGTTGATTGCAAATTGGCATACACCATTCCCAATACACTTAAGGAATACATAAAAAGGGGAAAGGATAAATTAGAACATACACAGAACCAAAATGTAGTTTATAAAATATCTTGTGAAAATTGTGAAGCAAGCTGTGTAGGCCAAACGAAGAGACAATTAAAAACAAGAGTACATGAACATGTTTCTGACATTAACAAATTATCAAAATCTCCATCTGTAATAACGAATCACAAAATTAAAACGAATCACGATTTTAAATGGAATAGAACCTTCATATAGAAAAAGATTAATTTCTGAGATGGTTCACATTAAGAAGCAAACACACGGTATAAACAGACAAACAGAGTCATTGCCTGACACATATACTAACATGATACATTCCATTCCCTTTCTATTTCTTAATTTTGTCACGGTTTCTTGTCCTCTCCTGACATTCTGCCGTTACATTACATTATTTGACTTGATCAAGAGTGTGTCGCGTACATCAGTGCAAAATATTTTAAAGTTACAACATGTATTTACAAC